TGCCTCGACTAGCGCTTAAAAACCCGACCAGCGCTACTCGTTCCGTACGAGACGCGTCCACTTTGGCCTGAGCGTGCCTCACTTGTCCCGTGGGTGCCAGTGTTTACAAGCCAGCCACCGCGGTCGCTTCCAAACATACAACTGGAACATTTCATATTATCACAGCCTTTGCAGTGACTGCACCTGCAAAATAAGTCACCATGGGCCCCAAGAAAGCTTCTAGTGCCAACCCTACAGCAAAAAGGATGAGAATTACTATGGAGATGAAGAAAGAGATCATTACTAAGTATGAAAATGGAGTGCGTGTCTCTGAGCTGGTCAGGTTGTATAATAAACCCCAATCAACCATCGCTACTATTGTGGGAAGAAAACGGCAATCAAGGAAGCTGTTCTTGCCAAAGGTGCAACTATGTTTTCGAAACTGAGATCGCAAGCGGTAGAAGATGTTGAGAGACTCTTATTGGTGTGGATAAACGAGAAACAGATAGCAGGAGATAGCATCTCTCAAGCGATCATATGTGAAAAGGCTAGGAAGTTGCATGACGATTTAATTAAAAAAATGCCAGCAACTAGTGATATGAGTGAATTTAAGGCCAGCAAAGGTTGGTTTGAGAGATTTAAGAAGCGTAGTGGCATTCACAGTGTGATAAGGCATGGTGAGGCTGCCAGTTCGGACCAAACAGCAGCTGAAAAATATGTGCAGGAATTCAAGGAGTACATAGACAGTGAAGGACTGAAACCTGAACAAGTGTTTAATTGTGATGAAACAGGCCTGTTTTGGAAGAAAATGCCAAGCAGGACCTACATTACTCAGGAGGAAAAGGCACTCCCAGGACATAAGCCTATGAAAGACAGGCTTACTTTGTTGATGTGTGCCAATGCTAGTGGTGATTGCAAAGTGAAGCCTTTATTGGTGTATCACTCTGAAACCCCCAGAGTGTTCAGGAAAAACAATGTCATCAAGGCTAATTTGTGTGTGCTGTGGAGGGCAAACAGTAAGGCATGGGTCACTAGGGACTTTTTCTATGGCTGGTTACACCATGCATTTGCCCCCACTGTGAAAAATTACCTAATTGAAAAGAAATTAGACCTTAAGTGCTTCCTGGTATTAGACAATGCTCCTGGTCATCCTTCAGACATGGAAGAGCGACTTTCTAGGGACATGAGCTTCATTAAGGTGAAGTTTTTGCCTCCTAATACCACTCCTCTCCTGCAGCCCATGGACCAGCAGGTCATTTCCAACTTCAAGAAACTGTACACAAAAGCTATGTTTGAAAGGTGCTTTGTAGTGACCTCAGAAACTCAACTGACTCGAAGAGAGTTTTGGAAAGATCATTTTACCATCCTCAATTGTGTAAACATTATAGGTAAGGTTTGGGAGGAAGTGACTAAGAGGACCTTGAACTCTGCTTGGAAGAAACTGTGGCCAGAATGTGTAGACAAAAGGGATTGTGAAGGGTGTGAGGCTAACCCTGAGAATCCTATGCCAGTTGAGGAATCTATTGTGGCATTGGGGAAGTCCTTGGGGTTGGAGGTTAGTGGGGAGGATGTGGAAGAGCTGGTGGAGGAGGACAATGAAGAACTAACCACTGATGAGCTGCTAGATCATCTTCAACAACAAGAGGCCAGACCTGAGGAAACTGGTTCGGAGGAGGGGAGAGAGAAATTGAAGAAGTTGTCTACTTCTAAGATTAAGGAAATGTGTGCAATGTGGCTTAAAGTGCAAACCTTTTTTGATGAAAATCACCCTGACACAGCTACTGCAAGCCATGTTGGCAACCTGTACACTGACAATGTTGTGAACCACTTTAGGAAAGTCATAAAGGAACGAGAGGTACAGGTATCTATGGACAGATATGTTGTGCGACAGAAGTCCAGTGACTCAAGTTGGTCCTAGTGGCATTAAAAGAAGAAGGGAAGTAACCCCAGAAAAAGACTTGCTACCTCAAGTGCTAATCCGTGGAAGGGGATTCCCCTTCTAAACACTAAGAAGATCAACGGTCTCCCCTCCTCCCATCTCATCAATCATCACCAGATCTTCAATAAAGGTAAGTGTCATGTAACTGTGCATGTCTTCTTCAGTTTGTGTGTATTAAAATTAATATTTCATGTGGTAAAATTTTTTTTTCAATACTTTGGGGTGTCTTGCACGGATTAATTTGATTTCCATTATTTCTTATGGGGAAAATTAACTTGACTAACGATTATTTCGATTAACGATGAGCTCTCAGGAACGGATTAATATCGCTGGTTGAGGGTCCACTGTACTTGTAACACCCCATCAATGAACTCTTCTACCTAGACATGCCTAGCTTCAATTTTCCTAACTCATCACCTTTGGTCGACTTCCTCAAGATCATTCCCAACATCGTTAACTTCACTGCAACTGCAGACCCTTCTCCTGATTCTGCTCAAAAAAATGTTTCTGACCCACCTCCAACTACTGCCAACATCTCTTACCAACAACTACCAACAAATCTCACCACCAATACTCAAGACTCACAGCCTGCTCTTGATACAATTACAGAAGAAATGAATGTACATGAATATGTATTTTCACGAGTCCACCAACGATGAGGAAGAAGACAAGAAGACCCCTTGCTGAAATGTAGGAATTTACATTAAAAAACTGCACTTCTACACCTCTTCATACAGCACAGATGTTCTGCAAAGAATTCTGCTCACACCTGCAAGATGGAATCATCAAATATACATATAAACCACCTTATAGATTCATGATAGAGGCTATAGTACAAGGACTAATGCCTTACATTGCTAATCATAGCAACAGCCTTCGAAAGACTAAAAAACGGCACACTAGTGATGAATTTTAAGCCAACACACACACAGCACGTCTTCCCAAGAATCAACATTTTCAACGACCATGTGACCCGAGTCCCTAGCTACCTGACATCTAGCCAGTCATCAACATCACCTGACCCAGTCATTTGTCAGCTGGCAAGCACTGTCTGCCTCTCTGCTTATTCTATATTGCCATACAATGCCATGCTGCTGGGTCTAGCTCTGGCTCCTTTTCTACAACTGGAGACATTCCTCTCCAGCTTTAGTCTTTGCTTGTCCTGACTTCCCTCACCCACTTGTTGGGTTTTTACCTCTGAGTCTTCAGTCATTCATTGGAGCCCATTCTACCTTTCATAGCGCATAGAATTTTTTTCATTTAACATGCTGGTTGTCTCTCACCTAGGTAGGGTGATCCAAAAAAGAAACACTTTCTACATCATTCATACTATCACTGTTTTGCCAGAGGCATGCAGATATGACAGTTTAGATGTCCCTCCAAACAGCAGATATCGCAAACTCCTCCTTTAGAGTGCAAGCACTATACAGTGGAACCTCAAAAATCGAACTGCTCCCAACTCAACCAATTATGCATGTGTATTTTTGTAAGTGCTTTTATGTGTATTTTTGAGGGTCTGAAATGGACTAATCTAATTTACATTATTCCTGATGGGAATAAATTCGTTCGGTAGCGACACTTGAACAGCCTTCTGGACCGAAGAAAGTTCTATATTTGAGGTTCCATTGTACTTCTCACCTCCAGGACTCAAGTCCATGACTGGAAAACTTTCTCATCAATATAACTGATATATATTTACTCTCAATATCTGTATTCATCTCAAATGTTAATCACTCCATTGTGGCCACCTAAGGTTAATAATCTAAACTGTACGTCTTCTCTACAAGACTTATTAAAGCCATATAGCATGACCTAATAGAATACTCAGTTCTCTCGTATTCATTGTAACTCATCCAATGACCATATGTACCGTTATTGCTTTATTAATCTTAAGTTTGCCCAAAAATGCTCTGCATGTACACCCAGCTATTATATTCCTTTGTATAAACATGTATCATGACAAAATAAAGTATTATTATTATAATAAATAACCCGCACACAGGAGACTGAAATTTATGATGATATTTTGGTCTGACTAGGACCATTAACAAGTGTGGCTTGTTAATAATCATAATAATAATATGCAGGCACAGAAAAATATATGATTTTATCATATTACACGTAAATCTATTTGAAATTAAATTTTTTGTCAACACATCGGTCATTTCCCACCAACAACGGGTGACCCAAAAAAGAAAGAATCACTTTCACCATCATTTAACACTTTCACCATCATTTAACACTTGCACCATCATTTAACACTTGCACCATCATTTAACACTTGCACCATCATTTAACACTTGCACCATCATTTAACACTTGCACCATCATTTAACACTTGCACCATCATTTAACACTTGCACCATCATTTAACACTTGCACCATCATTTAACACTTGCACCATCATTTAACACTTGCACCATCATTTAACACTTGCACCATCATTTAACACTTTCACCATCATTTAACACTTGCACCATCATTTAACACTTGCACCATCATTTAACACTTGCACCATCATTTAACACTTTCACCATCATTCAACACTTGCACCATCATTTAACACTTGCACCATCATTTAACACTTGCACCATCATTTAACACTTGCACCATCATTTAACACTTGCACCATCATTTAACACTTGCACCATCATTTAACACTTTCACCATCATTCAACACTTGCACCATCATTTAACACTTGCACCATCATTTAACACTTGCACCATCATTTAACACTTGCACCATCATTTAACACTTGCACCATCATTTAACACTTTCACCATCATTCAACACTTGCACCATCATTCACCACTTTCACCAACATTCACCACTTTCACCAACATTCACACATAATCACTGTTTTTGCAGAGGTGCTCGGATACGACAGTTTAGGTGACACTCCAAACAGCCAATATCCTATAAAATAACAGAGGCTACAAGCTTTTAAATAAGCTGATGTAGGTAACAACTCTAAGCTTGTAAATAACACTAGGAACCTTACGCTAACCTTGTTAAACCCTGTAACAAAAAAAAAAAACGAGAATTTTTACATACAGGATTTAGAATAAATAAGATACAGTAAAATGCAGCAAGTTTACTATAGTATTGAATACAAGAAAATATATTTCTTTTATAGAAATGCTAAAGAGTTTTAACTATAATTGTATATGCTATCAAGGATACTGCTGTATGACCCTTGTGGGCTTAAAGCTAAATTTTGATTTGTAATAACAATAATAATAAAACTATCAAAGATACTGACATACTATCATAGATATGTAAATATATGTGTACACACAAAAAATAATTCTTAGCAGTGTAGTCATGTTTAAGAAGTGAGTCTGGCATGCAGTGTAGCCAGGTGAGGCAGTTATGACAGTGTTCACAGTGTGGGTTTATACTGTACACTCCCTCTATGGCTTAAGCATTTAGTTATGATTATAATATACTGTGTACTATACCCATCAATATCACTCATTAACCCTTAAACTGTCCAAACGTAGACCTATGTTTGCTCGCGTAGCACTCCGAATGTAGATCTATGTTCAATTTTACATTGTTTCTTATGTAAAAAAAAGTAGATCTATGTTTGGAGCGCTACGCATGCAAACGTATATTTACGTTTGGACAGTTTAAGGGTTAAAAAACACAAGAGCACTATAGAGGGACTGGAACAATAACTCGCACATAGGAGGAAAAAACTATACGACGACATTTTGGTTCAGCTTTCACCATTTACAAGTCACTCTAATGCATGAAGGTGAGGGAGCCAATACATATAGGAGGACAGGGAAGGGACACAGGAAGGAAGAAGATGGAATGTAATCGAACCGAAACGTCGTTGTATAGTTTCTTTCTCCTATGTGCGGGGTATTTGTGTACTGTGTAATATCACTGATTCTTATTTCTACTTAATGCCAAATATTTGTGTGAATTAGGAAAAGAACAATACGCTAATTTTTTCCAATTCCGATATCAATACCTGTCTCAAAGGTAGTGTGATACCAATACTGATACCATCAAAATTAGTTAACAACTACTGATACTGATATCGTCAAAAGCAGCCAACACTAAATTTTAGGCTGATACCAATACACTCAACATTTACCACAATGTATAGAGATATTGTGACAACTACAACTACTCTGCTTCAAACTTGGCAGCCAGATTGTCAGGAAGATTATACAATCCACAGACTTTATTAGCAGGCAGCGCTTCATCTGTAGGAATAAAACAGAAGATGATAGAAGAATCATGGCATTATCTTTAATTTTAAAGATTTGGCCATATACCACCAAGAAAGGGTAACTTAAAAAGAAAAGCGAAAGCTTTTCTTTTTAAATTTAGGAATTTATACAAGAGAAGGGGTTACTAGCCCCTTGTTCCCTATGGCAATATTTGTATGTGACTCATGAAATCATAATGACATGACTGCCAACAAACCATACCATGGGTGGGGTTAAAACCCGCGATCACAGTCGCAAAACTCCAGAGCGCTACGTCGGTCTGGAGTTTTGTGACTCTATGATTGTGGGTTCTAACCCCACCTGTAGTATGGTTTGGAATACATGTAATTGTACATATTAAAAGTGAGGTGAATGTGTATTACAAGAGATTTATAAAGGGAAAATACAAAGTAAGCATGGTAGGAGGCAAGAAAATAATTAAGTTTATTTAGGTACAGGTAAAACAAGAACCTGTAATTGTTTTACATGATGGTAGGATTGCTGGTGTCCTTTTTTCTGTCTCATGAACATGCAAGATTTCAGGTACGTCTTGCTACTTCTACTTACACTTAGGTCACACTACACATACATGTACAAGCATATATATACACACCCCTCTGGGTTTTCTAATATTTTCTTACTAGTTCTTGTTCTTGTTGTTTATTTTCTCTTATCTCCATGGGGAAGTGGAACAGAATTCTTCCTCCGTAAGCCATGCGTGTTGTAAGAGGCAACTAAAATGCCGGGAGCAAGGGGCTAGTAACCTCTTCTCCTGTATATATTACTAAATGTAAAAGGAGAAACTTTCGTTTTTCCTTTTGTGCCACCCCGCCTCGGTGGGATACGGCCGGTGTGTTGAAAGAAAGAAGATCTCCATGGGGAAGTGGAACAGAATTCTTCCTCTGTAAGCCATGCGTGTTGTAAGAGGCGACTAAAATGCCGGGAGTAAGGGGCTAGTAACCCCTTCTCCTGTATACATTACTAAATTTAAAAAGAGAAACTTTTGTTTTTCTTTTTGGGCCGCCCTGCCTTGGTGGGATATGGCTGGTGCGTTGAAAGAAAGAAGTAAGATATGTGTGTGGGATATTTGCTGTTTGGTGGGACATCTGATGTTCCTCCAAACAGCAAATATCCCCACAACCCTCCTTTAGAGTGCAGGCATTGTACAGTGGAACCTCAAAAATTGAACTGCTCCCAACACAACCAATTATGTAAGTGTATTTTTGTAAGTGCTTTTATAAGTGTATTTTTAAGGGTCTGAAATGGACTAATCTAATTTACATTATTCCTGATGGGAATAAATTCATTCGGTAAAGGCACTCGAACAGACTTCTGGACCGAAGAAAGTTCGATATTTGAGGTTCCACTGTACTTCCCACCTCCAGGACTCAAGTCCAGTTAACCAGTAAAACACATCATCATGTATACAGTGGGTATACAGTATGTATATACCGTGGTTGTTTAATATATTTATAGATGGGGTTGTAAGAGAAGTAAATGCGAGGGCCTTGACAAGAGGCGTGGAGTTAAAAGATAAAGAATCACACACAAAGTGGGAGTTGTCACAGCTGCTCTTTGCTGATGACACTGTGCTCTTGGGAGATTCTGAAGAGAAGTTGCAGAGATTGGTGGATGAATTTGGTAGGGTGTGCAAAAGAAGAAAATTAAAGGTGAATACAGGAAAGAGTAAGGTTATGAGGATAACAAAAAGATTAGGTGATGAAAGATTGAATATCAGATTGGAGGGAGAGAGTATGGAGGAGGTGAATGTATTCAGATATTTGGGAGTGGACGTGTCAGCGGATGGGTCTATGAAAGATGAGGTGAATCATAGAATTGATGAGGGAAAAAGAGTGAGTGGTGCACTTAGGAGTCTGTGGAGACAAAGAACTTGTCCTTGGAGGCAAAGAGGGGAATGTATGAGAGTATAGTTTTACCAACGCTCTTATATGGGTGTGAAGCATGGGTGATGAATGTTGCAGTGAGGAAAGGCTGGAGGCAGTGGAGATGTCATGTCTGAGGGCAATGTGTGGTGTGAATATAATGCAGAGAATTCGTAGTTTGGAAGTTAGGAGGAGGTGTGGGATTACCAAAACTGTTGTCCAGAGGCTGAGGAAGGGTTGTTGAGGTGGTTCGGACATGTAGAGAGAATGGAGCGAAACAGAATGACTTCAAGAGTGTATCAGTCTGTAGTGGAAGGAAGGCGGGTAGGGGTCGGCCTAGGAAAGGTTGGAGAGAGGGGGTAAAGGAGGTCTTGTGCGCGAGGGGCTTGGACTTCCAGCAGGCATGCGTGAGCGTGTTTGATAGGAGTGAATGGAGACAAATGGTTTTTAATACTTGACGTGCTGTTGGAGTGTGAGCAAAGTAACATTTATGAAGGGGTTCAGGGAAACCGGCAGGCCGGACTTGAGTCCTGGAGATGGGAAGTACAGTGCCTGCACTCTGAAGGAGGGGTGTTAATGTTGCAGTTTAAAAACTGTAGTGTAAAGCAACCTTCTGGCAAGACAGTGATGGAGTGAATGATGGTGAAAGTTTTTCTTTTTCGGGCCACCCTGCCTTGGTGGGAATCGGCCAGTGTGATAATAAAAAAAAAAAAAAAATAATACATGAAGCCATATATTATCTTACCAATTTTGTCAGGGTAAGGCAGACCAAGGTTTGCCATGATATCAATAAATTCTTCCTTGGACTTTGTAAGTCGTGGATTGCAATCTTTCTCTTCTGCAACGGTTGTTACAGAGTGTCCTGCAACATAAGCAAATAATATAATCAATGAATTGCAAATTAAAAAGATTTAAAAGATATAAAGAATGTTTTTTATTAATGAATTCTTTTTTAGACTTTGTTAAGTCGTGGATTGCAATCTTTGTCCTCTGCAACGGCTGTCATAGTGTCCTGCAACACAACGAAATAATCACTGTATTGCAAATTAAAGATATTTAAAAAATATATAGAATGACTTTTTGGAATTAATGTAATGACTGAAACACCTGTAAATATTTCTGCCTCCGCCATTTAAAAAATAAAATTATTTCAAGGTGTGTGGTATTAAAATGATTAATTATAATTAAACAGGAAAAAGCATGTAATATAAGTAGTGTACTGTATACATATGCTTATTGTATGGTACAGTAAACGCTTGATGTAAGGGACCTCAATAAAATAGACTCCTGAAATAGACAAAATCCGCTGTGTAAATTGTACTCTTATAATAATAATAATAATAATAATAATAATAATAATAATAATAATATTAATAATAATAATATTTTACTTCAGCATTATCCTTGATGCTCAATATTTATTGCAGTAGCATTTATATTAGTAAATTGCTAGTACAGTACTATATTAGTTACACAGTAGAGTACTTTAGTACTTTTTTCTGATAATTTTAAGCATTATTTTGACTTAACCGAGACTTGGTTAATCTTCCCTTATTAATCCAATATACTTAGAGTTTACATTTAAAAATAATCATACCTGGGATATACCTGGAGAGGGTTTTGGTGGTCAACGCCCTCGTGGCCCAGTCTGAGACCAGGCCTCGTGGTGGATCAGGGTCTGATCAACCAGTTAACATCAAATTTAAGATTTAAAGATTTGTGTAGGGCGTATAAAAAAGTTTACCTGTGTAATCATGTGCTGGATAGAGCAAGTAGTCATCAGAAGAGTGAAGATCTGAGAGTGTACGGAATCGTACAAGACTTCGGAGGAACCTTCCTGGAAGTCCGTGCGTCCGCAGCCTCGTATCAGTAAGGCATCACCAGTGAACGCAAGTTTCTGTGCGTGGTTCACGTATGTTACGCAACCTATATAAGAGTGTTCATTGAAAGTTCATAAATTATGATTACAAATTCTGTGGTACCTTGGGATACGAACAGCTCAAAACTCAAAAAATTATGTAAGTGTATTTATGCAAGTGCTTTTGTAAGTGTATTTTTAGGGATCTGAAACTAATTAATCTAATTTACATTATTCCTTATGGGAACAAATTTGTTCGGCATCTGTACTCGAACAGCCTTCTGGAACGACTTAAGTTCGTATCCCGAGGTACCACTGTATATAAGAATAAGCAGAACAACCACTGTGAAAAATAGTGAAATTCCAAACGCTTTAGCAATTTCTCACATTACATTTCCTTGATGTGGGTAATCACAAAAGCGCTTGGAATTTCACTATTTTTCATAACAGTTATTCTGCATATTGTGATATCACCTGTTTACTGTGATCTTATTGCATATAAGAATACACAGTGCTTAAAATATTAGAGGTATTTAGTAATTCAATAAAAAAAGGTAATTATTGATCTATTAAGAATGAAACTAAGTATATGAGAAGAAGGAATGATAGACAAAGACAGGGTCAATACTGGGTGAAAGTATGTATTATCAGCACATAGGCTGAAAGAATTGATTAACACACAGGCTGAAAGAAATGATCAACACACAGATTGCAAGAAGCAATTACTGCTCTACACACAGGTTGCAAGAACTGATCAGCACAGGTTGCAAAAATTGATCAGCACACAGGTTGCAAGAATTGCAATTATATATCCCAACATGGAAGTTCCTCTCTTATAAGAAATCTCTAAGGAAAAGTATGTACGTATTTGCCTCAGAAGTCTAAGGTAGGGATGATGTAACACCAAGAAGTATTATAAGCTTGTTTTCCCATAACCAGAAAAATAACGAACAATTCTGAATTTATAGTGTTTGTCCATTAGCTCCAGACATTGTCTGGCCATGGAATTTTTCCATTAAATCCAAAATCTATTAAACTGGTGTCTGTTAATGTTACAAATGAATTGCACTCAGAAAAAAAAAATAGAAAAATATTGTGGGTACAAACTGACTCACCATTTGTGTGTCCAGGTGTTCTACGAACCTCCAGTTCTTGGTCCCCAAAACTGACTGTTTCACCGTGTTCAACATGCACATCTGCCACGCCTCCCGACTCCTGTAAAAATTTAATAAAATAAATTTTGTTACGGTAATGGTACAAAAATAAAGTGACACAACAAGTTTGCATAAAGTTTTCATTATTTTTTAAGTTAGAAAAGAAATTGGTGCTACGTATTATTAAAGATTAGAGATTATCAACCAAACTGTTTGTTTAGTGACACATTATACAATCAATTGTATAACCAAATTGTATAATATGTAGTGATTCATTAATAATAATATAATAATATCGTTATTTCTACCAGTACATGTACAAGCTATACAAGTACATGTACAAGGTGTACAAGTACATGTACAAGGTATACAAGTACATGTACAAGGTATACAAGTATATGTACAAGCTATACAAGTACATGTACAAGGTGTACAAGTACATGTACAAAAGGGATACCAAGTAATTGCAAGGTATACAATTTCATGTACAAGGTATACAAGTACATGTTACAAGGTGTACAAGTACATTTTACAAGGTATCAAGTACATGTACAAGGTATACAAATACATGTCAAGGTGTACAAGTTTCATGTACAAGGTATACAAGTTTCATGTCAGGTTTTACAAGTACATGTACAAGTATACAATAATGTACAGGTTTTTAAGTACATGTACAAGGTTACAAGTCATGTCAAGGTATACAAGTACATGTACAAGGTATACAAGTACTGTACAAGGTAACAATACATGTCAAGGTTACCAGTACATGACAAGGTATACAAGTACATGTAAAGGTACAAGTACATGTACAAGGTTTCAAGTTCATGTACAAGGGATACTACATGTAAAGGTTACAAGTACTGTCAAGGTATACCTACATGTACAAGGTTACAAGTACATGTACAAGGTATAACAGTACTGTACAGGTATACAAGTAATGTACAGGTATACAATACATCAAGGTAACAGTACATGTAAAGGTATACAAGTACATGTACAGGTTCCAGTCAGTACAAGGTTACAAGTACATGTCAAGGTATAAAAAGTACATGTACAAGGGGTTAAAGTACATGTACAAGGGATACAGTACATGTACCAGGTTACAAGTACATGTACAGGTATACAGTCATGTACAGGTATACAGTTTCATGTTCAAGGTATACCAGTACATGTACAAGGTATACAAGTACTGTACAGGTTACCAGTACATGTACAAGTATACAAATACATGTACAGGTATACGACCCTAGCTGACATCAGTGAATATTACTACTACATAGAAAGTCCCTTGTTATGCAGGGGCATTTCCCACAATTAGGTCAGTTTTGTCCAGGATGCAACCACACAGTCCACTAAAACCAGGTACCCTATAAGTGATGGGAACATACAAACGTGTAAGGAACATGCCATGTTTCACCAGCAGGAACCAGACCCTCAGCAGTGAAGCGAGGCTTCTGCTACCAGGCCACAGCCCTACATAGCTGGAACCTAACCTGCTGCATAAGTGTGCCTAGAGTAGTCTAGAACCTAACCTGCTGTTGGTGTCCCACAGCTTGATCACTAGCACACTCAGCTCATACGCTGAGGTCCGGAGATCGAATCTCTGGTACGGCTGGAAATCATCAGGGACGTGTTTCCATAAGACACCTGCTGTCCATGATCACCCATCAGTAATATGGGTGCCTGGGTGTTAGTGGACTGGTGTGGGTCACATCCTGGGTGTTAGTGGACTGGTGTGGGTCACATCCTGGGTGTTAGTGGACTGGTGTGGGTCACATCCTGGGTGTTAGTAGACTGGTGTGGGTCACATCCTGGTTGTTAGTGGACTGGTGTGGGTCACATCCTGGGTGTTAGTGGACTGGTGTGGGTCACATCCTGGGTGTTAGTGGACTGGTGTGGGTCACATCCTGGGTGTTAGTGGACTGGTGTGGGTCACATCCTGGGACAAAACTGACCTAATTTTCCTGAAATGCTCAGCATAACAAGTGGCTTTCTATATAGTAGTATGTCGTTGATGTCAGCTATGGTCTGTATACCTTGTACATGTACTTGTAGAAATAAAGATATTATTATTTTTAATTACCTTGGATAAGAGTGACTTGCACCCAGGAACAAGCTTCTTCAGCAGACCGGTGCCAGTGATATGGTCAGCATGAACGTGGGTGTTCACTGTAAACAAATCAATAAATTCTCGTAAAAATTGCTCGGTAACTTTTGTACACAAAAAAAAAAAAAATTGTCAAACTAAAATATATACAGTATATTATACATGTAATCCTCACCACCTATACAGTGGACCCCCGCTTAACGATCACCTCCCAATGCGACCAATCATGTAAGTGTATTTATGTAAGTGCGTTTGTACGTGTATGTTTGGGGGTTTGAAATGGACTAATCTGCTTCACAATATTCCTTATGGGAACAAATTCGGTCAGTACTGGCACCTGAACATACTTCTGGAATGAAAAAATATTGTTAACTGGGGGTCCACTGTAATTATAATTCTTAAAACAATTAAACTTAATAAAAGTCATATAGCATGTACTGGTAGGATATTCACTTCTCTTACAGCCATGTAACTACTAATTTTATTTTTATGACCACTTAAGACAATGTATATATATATAAGCACTCAATTAGTCACTGCCTCATTAATGTTAAGTATGTCTTAAGTTTGCCTGATATACTCTGAGTATTAAGGGACTTTCTGCATGTACACCGAAATGTCATTCACCTTTGTACAAACATTGTATCGTGCTGAAATAAAGAATCTTTAATCTTTAAAGTAATTGATATACAGTGGACCCCCGCTTTACGATCAGCTTCCAATGCGACCAATTATGTAAGTGTATTTATGTAAGTGCGTTTGTACATGTATGTTTGGGGGTCTGAAATGGACTAATCTAATTCACAATATTCCTTATGAGACCAAATTCGTTCAGTAATGGCACCTGAACAGACTTCTGGAATGAAATAATATCGTAAGCCGGGGGTCCACTGTATATATATAGTATATATATATAACTATATATGCAGAACAAGCACTGTGAATGTGACTGCTCACATTACTGTAGTTCCTTCACAATGTAAGAAGTCACAAAAGCGTTTGGAATTTCACTATTTTTTCACAGTGGTTGTTCTGCATATTCTGATATCACCTGCTTACTGTGATCTTATTCCATAACTATATATATTGAGACTGGAACAGTGTTAAACTACAGCAAGTCCTCGGCTTACAAACACATTGGGGACCTTCTGTATCTTGTATAGTAATGATATATTAATGATATTATACACAATAATGATATACACAGTACAGAAGATTCTCAACGTGTAAGAGTGCTCTAGCATCAGTATTTTTTATCAAACTTCCAAAGTTACTGAGGCACTTGAATCTACACCAATGTCATCTACATAAAACAACTAGAAATAAAAAAAATACTGTACAATACTGTGACTGGAATGATACACAAATAACCCGCACATACAAGAGAGGAGCTTACGATGACGTTTCAGTCTGACTTGGACCATTTACAAAGTCACACTGTGTGACTTTGTAAATGGTCCAAGTCGGACCGAAACGTCGTCGTAAGCTCCTCTCTTGTATGTGCGGGTTATTTGTGCAACTAGAAATGTCTAATATTCCAAATTGAAATTTAGAAAGGATTACTTACTGACATATTTTAGATCTAATCCTAATTCGCGGACCAACTGTGCATCTCTCTCTGCCAGTTCAATGACAGGATCAATAAGAACAGCCTCCTTACTGACATCATCAGCCAGAAGATAGGTGTATGTGCAGCTCTCCCGGTCAAATAACTGCAACAAGACTCAAAATTAAATTTTCGAAATGTCAAAAATAACTCAATAATAATAATAATAATAATAATGTTTATTTCTAGCAGTACATGATACAACTTATACAGACCATAGCTGACACCAATGACATACTATATAGAAAGTCCCTGGTTATGTAGAGCATTTCACACAACTTAGGTTAATTTTGTCCTCAGGATGCCACCCACACCACTCACCTAACACCCAGGTACCTACTTACTGCTAGGTAAACAGTGACAACAGGTATCTTAAGGAAACATGTCCTAATGACAACACAATAATTGTCAGGGGCCCAAGCATATATAAGGGGGATTACCAATAGACCTCTAGTTGTCTTCAAGGCCCCTGGCTGCCTTCAAGACCCCTAGTTGACTTCATGACCCCTGGCTATCTTCAAGACTTCTGGTTGTCTTCAAGACCTCTGGTTGTCTTCAAGACCCCTGGTTGTCTTCAAGACCCCTGGTTGTCTTCAAGGAGGAGCTGGACAGACACATTGTCAGAACCTGACCAGCCGAGCTGTGGTACCTATGCTGGTTTACGTGCGGCCAGAAGTAACAACCTGGTTGATCGGTCCCTGATCCACCACCAAGCCTGGTCATGGACCATGCCACAGGGGCATTGACCCCCCAAAACACTCTCCGTATAATTTCCTTAAGGGTGACAATCAGGTTGAGAGTGAAGCCAGAGGATAGTCTTCAAGGGACATTATTGATATTACTATTACTATCCATTTTATTTGGGTACGAGGGCCGGTGTAGATTACTAGGTAGTTTCAACCCCCACTTTGCCACTGACTGTAATAAGCTGTGTACCACTGGGAAGTGTCAGATGCAAGTGGGGAGTGACGAGTGCGATAATTCTATTTATAGTGCAATGCTGCGAGGTTGGATCACCTTTTAGTACTGCACCAGTAGGCTTCTTCAGTCATTTATAGAAGAAGCAGCAGTAGTGATATAATGACTAGGTAATCAATCCATCAACCCCAAAGACTTAGTCTTAAGGTAATCAGTCCCTCAGCCTCCAAGGCTGAGGGACTGATTACCCCATCTTTTGTATATAGTTCTACTGTCTTCCAGTTATGTCCTGGAATCTGTATTGATAAAGCCACTGGATGGCGAAACGTCTACAATAAAGATACCCAGATGTTGAACGTGTGTCTAATTTTCATCTTGTCGATACTGTATACCATTCATATACCATAGATGACACTTTATAACAGTAATAATAATAATAATAATAATAATAATAATAATATTTATTTTGATATGGTACATAGTTGTACAAAGGAATATAATAGGTGGGTGTACATGCCAAAAGCCCCTTTGTATGCAGAGCATTTCAGAAAAACTTAATATAAACTTAAGATTAGTAAGGCAATAACAGATTTTAATATTATTATTATATTATAGGAAGCCAAAGCTTGTTTAATATCTTAATTATTCATCTGATATCCATGGTGTGGGTGGTAGTCAAAATACTGAAGAGGCATATGGTGGGTCTAGAGACTGGGCACCAAAGTCACTTTGTCTGACTTTTTGGGGCTATTCTGAAGGGTATTTTGCACTATGTAGACAAATACATGAGTGGGACCTGCCTAGCATGGGCCAGTAGGTGATATGGACCTGCCTAACATGGGCCAGTAGATGATTAGGACCTTCCTTCCATGGGCCAGTAGGGGACTAAGACCTGCCTACCATGGGCCAGTAGGGGACTAGGACCTGCCTACCATGGGCCAGTAGGCCTGCTGCAGTGCACCTTTCTTACATTCTTAGGTATGGTAACTGTATTTAGGTGTACCTCTGCCTAAACCAACTTACTAAGCAAATTACATTGGTAGTGCAGAATATTATGTGACTGGGGACAGTAGCCATGAAGGGTAGTTACCGTGGGTACCCATGGTAACTGTTGACGGAGAAGTAATAGCCCTCCCCTGCAATTATCACCGCTCGTGGCTCAACTGGTAGTGTTTAAGCTCACACAGTAGGGGTCCGGGATTCAATATCTGGGTGGATGGAAGCGTTGGGCGTGTTTCCTTACACCTGCTGTCCATGTTCAAATAGCAGTAAGTAGGTACCTGGGTATTAGTTGACTGGTGTAGGTGGCATCCTGGGAGGTGGTAGTATAGGTTGGGTTAGGTTAGGTTAGGTTAGGTTAGATTAGGTTAGATTAGATTAGATTAGATTAGGTTAGGTTAGGTTAGGTTAGGTTAGGTTAGGTTAGGTTAGGTCACAAATGAGTTGAGGCAGAATAACAACTCCTAGCCTATAAAACTGATGTCTAAAAAAAAAAAAAAACCTATACACCATATACTCGATAGTCTTCAAACCCCATTAACTAATAACAGGAAGTACAAACTACTGGGAAGACCCCCTCCCCCACACACATTATTATGCAATTTGCAATAAGAAATCAATAACTGGCAAGCTGTGATAGCAAGCCAGGGAAGAGTGAGGCTGCAGGTGTCTGCTGGAGAATCAGACATCGTGGGAACGTTTCGCCAGGGAGTGCCGTCTTCAGTTCAATACAGAGAAGAATGGTTAAGACTTGGAGTTTGAGGTTATCAGTCCCCTCAAACACCTTCAATTCTCCAGTATTCTCTATATATGACTGATGAAGACATTGTGTGGCGACACGTTCCCACAATAACATACCCAAGTGTTAAACATATGCCTAATTTAATAGTGTTTTGTGTACTAGCAACTGCCATATTAACAGGGTTCTGTGTATACCTGGAGGGTGTTCTGGGGGTCAGCGTCCCCGTGGCACGGTCCATGACCAGGCCTGGTGCTGGATCAGGGAGTGATCAACCAGGTTGTTACTGCTGGCTGCATGTAAACCAATGTAGGAACCACAGCCTGGCTGGTCAGGTACTGACTTTGTGTGTCTGGCCAGCTCCCTCTTGAAGACAACCAGGGGTCTTAAAGACAACCAGGGGTCTTGAAGACCACCAGGGGTCTTGAAGACCACCAGGGGTCATGAAGACTACCAGGGGTCTTGAAGACAACCAGGGGTCATGAAGACAACCAGGGGTCTTGAAGACCACCAGGGGTCTTGAAGACCACCAGGGGTCATGAAGACAACCAGGGGTCCTGAAGACAACCAGGGGTCATGAAGACAACCAGGGGTCTTGAAGACCACCAGGGGTCTTGAAGACAACCAGGGGTATTGAAGACAACCAGGGGTCATGAAGACAACCAGGGGTCTTGAAGACCACCAGGGGTCTTGAAGACAACCAGGGGTCTATTGGTAATCCCCCTTATGTATGCTGGGATGCAGTTGAACAGTCTTGGGCCCCAGACACTTATTGTGTTGTCTCTCAGTGTGCTCATGGCACCTCTGCTTTTCACTGGGGGAATGTTGCATCTCCTGCCCAGTCTTTTGCTTTCATAGAACCTGCTCAAATTTGGTACTAATCCCTCTAGGATTTTCCAAGTGTATATTATCTTGTATCTTTCTCGCCTGCATTCCAGGGAATACAAATCAAGAGACTTCAATCTTTCCCAGTAATTTAGGTGCTCTATTGTACTTTTATATGCAGTGAAAGTTCTCTATATTCTCCAGGTCAGCAATTTCGCCAGCCTTGAAGGGGGCAGTTAGTGTAGAGCAGTATTTCAGCCTAAAGATAACAAGTAAGTTGAAGAGTGTCATCACGGGCTTGGCATCCCTAGTTTTGAAGGTTCTCATTATCCATACTATCATTTTCCTAGCAGATGTGGCAGATACACTGTTGTGGTGTTTGAAAATGAGATCTTCTGACATTATCACTCCCAGGTCCCTCACATTAGTTTTTCGCTTTATTGTATGGTTAGAACTTGTTTTATACTCCTTGATTTTCATAGTGGAGTTATCGAAATTTTTCATCATTGAACTTCATATTGTTTTCTGAGGACCATTAAAAGATTTGGTTGATGTCCGCCTGGAGTCTTGCAGTGTCTGCAATGGAAGACACTGTCATGCAAATTCTGGTATCATCCACAAAGGAAGACACGGTGCTGTGGCTGACATCTCTATGTCAGATATGAGGATGAGGAACAGGATGGGAGTGAGTACTGTGCCTTGTGGAACAGAGCTTTTTACCATGGTTGTCTGGGACTTTACTCTGTTTACTATTACTCTTTGTGTTCTATTTGTCAGGAAGTTATAGATCCATCTACCAACTTTTCCTATTATTCCTTAATCACACATTTTGTGTGTTATTACACCATGGTCACACTTGTCTAAGGCTTTTGCAAAGTCTGTGTATACTACATCTGTATTTTGTTTATCCTCTACAGCATCCAGGGCCTTGTCATAGTGGTCCAGTAGCTGGGACAGACAGAAGCGACCAACCAAGACCATATCATAGTGGTCCAGTAGCAGGAACAGACAGGAGTGACCAACCAAGACCATATCATAGTGGTCCAGTAGCTGGAACAAACAGGAGCAACCAACCAAGACCATATCATAGTGGTCCAGTAGCTGGAACAAACAGGAGCAACCAACCAAGACCATATCATAGTGGTCCAGTAGCTGGAACCGACAGAAGCGCCCTGCTCTAAACCCATGTAGTCCTGGGTTGTGTAACTGATGGATATCTAAGTAGATGGCGATCTTGCTTCTTAGAACCCTCTCAAAGATGTTTATATAGAACGTTAATGCTATAGATCTGTAATTCTTTGCAAGTGCTTTACTGCCATCTCTGTGGAGTGGGGCTATGTCTGTTGTTTTTAGTGACTGTGGGATCCAGCCCGTGTCTATGCTCTCTCCCCATCAATAACATCAATAAATAGCTTAACATCAATAAATAGCTTAACATCAATAAATAGCTTAACATCAATAAATAGCTTAACATCAATAAATAGCTTAATGGCTCACCCTTCTCCTACAGTAAATGTAAATTTTAAATCCCTTTAAAACAGTGTGGATGGTGGGGTTGAGGGTTGCTGGGGTGAGGGTGACAGGGGGACGTGAGGGGTAGCTGGGGTGAGGGTGACAGGGGGACG